AATGGCTCAAGAGAGATCCCATGGCTCTGCTCCTCTCTTCCAAATACCAACATACACCAAGCAGGTCCTTCATCTCGAGTAGGTTGGTTCTCAGACAAGAAGCTGCAACCTTAATGAGGTCATGGATGTGTTGAAGCGGTGCTGATGATGCCAAAGGTCCTGGTGTTAGCATGTTACACTATTAAGTCTGTTTTCAAGGTAACAAAAGTATATTTTCTTTTGCTTGGAGGATTTCTATTACCTCTAGACAGGAGACAGGACCACTGGGATAGTGTCTCTTCAGAGGTGTAAGACCTGCCTGTACTGGAGGTGGGCACCAAATTCTTTGCATGTTAGGATTTGTGTACTTACTACAATCTTCATCTTTAAACACTAGTGACAGAAAAATGTATGTTCCTATGCAGCAGATCTTTTTCTTGAATAACCTTTTACACATTTTGACTAAGTCAAAAAGTATTTTCCTGTAAACTTTAAATGCAGGACGCTAATGTGTCACAAATTTTGTTCATTGATTAAATATTAGTGTGCATGTGTGACAGTTTTGTTTTAAATCAAGAGTTGCCTGAAATGCACAGCTAAAAATACATCCCTTCTCAGGGTTATTGACAAAGTATGTTACAGTAATAAGAGTCTCTGCTCCTAATTTTAGCAATCGAGGCTTGTTACTAATTTCAGAGATCAGTGTAGTCTGCAGGGGGCTATTCATAGATTGATAGGATCATAGAATGGCTTGGGTTGGAAGGGATCTTCTCATTATTTATTGGCACTAATAGACATTGACAAGATACCTCTGCACCTTCTCTTTTGCCTGGTCCTGAGCACCTCTAGGAGTGGTACATCTACAGCTTCCCCCAGCAGCCTGTGCCAGCAACTCCTTACTTTCTGAGTAAAGAATTTTCTTCTAACATCTAACCTATATCTTCCCTCTTTGAGTTTAAAACCATTCCCCCTTGTCCTGTCACTATCAGGCTGTGTAGAAAGTGAGTCTCTCTCCTACTTACACACTCCCTTTAAGTACTGAAAGGCCCTGAGTCGAAATCAGGTGGTTGGGTGAGCCAACTTAATGTGGTTGTCCTTCCTGGGTTTTGGGTTACCCACGCCCTCTCCTTTTTCCAGCCCTAGAGCCTTGTGTACATTGAGACCAAGAGGTAGACAATTCCTTTTGCTCCAAGCATAGACAAAGATCTGGTTCCTCTTGTCTCCCACTTTACTGTGATCTCACAGAATCACAGAATCTCAGAATGGCCAGGGTTGGAAGGGACCTCAAAGATCATGAATCTCCAAGCCCCCTGCCACATGCAGGGCCACCAACCTCCTCATTTAATGCTACACCAGGCTGCCCAGGGCCCCATCCAACCTGGCCTTGAACACCTCCAGGGATGGGGCATCCACAACCTCTCTGGGCAGCTGTTCCAGCACCTCATCTGACTCCTCTCGGTTCAAAACTAGATTAGCTGCTTCTTTTTGAAAGGACTTAAGGCAGTCATCCTCACTATGCAATACTACTCATCTCAGTATGAAGGAGCAACTTGCGATGTGCCATAGGCTCAGTAATGGAAGAAAAGGCTTTCCAAGGCACCCATGGGGTCCTTGCTCTCCAAAAGCCATGCCAGAGCCCCTCTCTGAGTCAGTGGTGAGAAAGGAATCTATTAAGAATAGCTTTGTGTTTAAGCTAGAAGGATCACAACTGGATCATGCTGTGTTCATTAATTTTCTTGTTTCCACTTGTAGGGAAACACTCCATTTTTAAAGCAAAACAAGATCAGAAAGTGATTGAGCAATGGAAACTTTTGACAAAAGTGGAAAAGTCTTATCGATTGTGTACAGCAATTGGATGGTTCACTCCTTAGCTGTGACCAGGCAGCCTGCCTCTCTGCTTCCTCACAGTTCTCTCATCTGCCTGTGAAAACTGCAGAGATTGGCTAGGCTATTTTCAGAAAAGTGTTTGGTGTAGCTGTCGCTGCCAGTGCTTGGCAGTAGTTGGGAATCAGGGATTGCCATCAGTGGCTGAACCACAAGCATTTGGGCTCTGAGCTGTGTGTCATCTGTCATTGTGGTGGTCATGGTACGGTACTAAGATAAGCTTTTCAGAAAGAGCTGTGTGGAAGTGCATATCTACAATGGAAGTTTTCACTTGAAAGTTTATTTTTCCTCTGTTTTAACTTGTGGTTTGGAGTTGTTTGACTGCCATCCTAATTGTAAATTTAATTCCCATCTTCTGAATCAGGACAATGCCAAATATTCCTTTGATTTCCTGACAAGCTCATTCCTTCCTCACTCTGTAACTGGGAACGTCTTCTAAAATGTTGTGGCAGGACAGGTGGAGGAAACAGGCTGCTGCTGGGGAAGCAACAGGACCACTGAAAGGGACTAATCACCAGGAATCAGCTGGGCATGACATTGCCATGCATTCTGCACCAGCTGCACAGTTGCATGAGGATCTGAAAGTCTCAGTAGCTGTAATGATTATAAGGTAATGAACCTTGTGCTGGGATCTCAAAACAGTATTTTTCACCTTGTTAAGTGTTTTCATCTATGTTCATGCTAATTATTAGTGTCTGCAAGAGACATCAGCTGCTGGTAGGCATAGGTCAGAGCAGTGTTTTTCAGTAGCTGACTGGGCATCTCTAATGTTTGAGGTTTGATTTTTAAAAAGAAAGATACGAGGCTTTGCAACAGTGAGCAAATGTAACTGCCTCTCTGCTTTTACCTGACTGAATCAAGATGAGGAGGGGCATCAGTTCTGACAGAATTTGTTCATAAATCCTTTGTATTGATATCTGATGGAATAGCAGGGATACGTTGATGGCCATTTGTGGGAAAGCTTTGTGGCTTCATCTTCTTTTGTTCTGGAGAGCTCCTGAGTGCATTATTGGAAATGTGGCCATTTGAAGGACCCCCTGGAGAAACATAATTTTTGTGAGAGACTGAGGAAAGCAAGAGTCAAATAATCCTATTCAGTGTATTTCAGACAACACAAACAATGCATTGCAAGATACCACAGCAGGATTCGTGTTGTATTACTTATTCATTAGTTAGGATTTAGAAATGATGAGGAGCTGTGCCCTGGCATCAGTCCATTTCTGTCATTCATGGGATCTGGATTTACATTCTTCTGTCAGTCAGGATAAAACTGCCATAACTTGGATGCACGGATTTCAATCTTGATGTACAGCAGTATCTTGCCCTCCTGCAGCTCGCGATTGGAAAGGACGGCTGGGAGCAGAAAACTTCAGGTTGCATCAATTACTTTTGAAGGCAGAGTGGTGTGTAACTTCCCCTTGGGAATCCACAGGGAAAAGAGATAAAGTGCTGTAGTGTTTGGGCTTACTCCCCTTTGATTTTTCAGGTGGATTTGTTTGTTTGTTTGTTTGTTTTTCTTGGCAGCTGTTTACAATCTGTATTGCTGTATGGTGCTGTAGCTAGGCCTCTGGTTAGGGATCTAAGTATGAGAAGAGAGAAGAGGCATTAATAGTGCTCAGACAAGTAGTAATATATGTGCATATTTCACAAAAGAATTGGTGTGGGATTTCACCCAACCCAAGTTCCACCTATCCTATTGCAGGTATGGACAGTACTGCTCTGCAGAATAAGGCTGTTTCAGAGCAGGTGTAGCTCTTGCAGTGCTGTTAATCTTTCAAAAGTCAGACCTAATAAAAACCATGGGATATTGAAAGTCATTTTAATTGTGGGTGTCCCACACAGAACTGACTAATGCAGTTTTCAGTGAAAAATTGCCTCGAAAAACATGTTATAAACTGTTGCTTGTACATAATATCTGTGATATGCAAATCTACTGACCAATTTTATTTTATTCCTATGGTCACATTAACCTGTGCTCTCTTCCTAAGGAGTTACCTGAAGAGGACTGTTGTGTTTGTTTTTCCTGAGAGGCTGATGTTAAGCGGGTGGCTACAGCATGAGTAACTGACCTGAATTGTGGTGGAGACCAGGCTGTGAACTACAGGCTCCTAAGTACTCTTCACTGACTACAGATCTGTGTTCTGCCTCCATAAGAAATGTGAGACAGGCTGCAGAGTGATACTGCAGATTCGGTTTTTGTTCTGCTGCAGAATTATGGGGTGCTGAGCAGAGATGCTGAAGGTCATCACAAACTGAAAATTTCAATTATAGTACCCAATTATAGCAGTTATTCTCAAACTTCTTGTTATCCTACAGGATTTTCATACACTAAATTCAAAAGATCCAGGCATATTATTTTTAAATGCAGAGTTGGCATATTTAGGTATCCTAAGCTGTTGTTTCAACACCCTCCAGCTACTGAAGTTTGAACTCAGGTTACTTAATGCTTATGATCTTCTATCAAACTATTTTAATGTACTTTTTATCCCCTTCCTTCTTTCTTCTCTCTCCTTCTATCAGTGCAGCAGAAGGTTGTTAGCAAACTATCATTAGAAATGGTGAGCAATTGCATTGTAAAAAAGCAGTTCAACATGAAATACTGTACAGTAAAATACAGTAAAATCCATTCTTCCTATGGAGAAGTTCTATTATTTAGAAGTGCACTTCTAAATAATAAAGGCAAAAATAGCAGTAATTCTAAACTGTCACAGTTTTTAACCATGCCGAGATGCCAGTGAGGCTGGCTTGGTAGAAGAGTTAGTTCTGTCACATTTGGAAGCAATTTATTCTAAATTTCAGAGCCTGTTTTCAGTTTGATGCACAGTTAAATTCCTGATAATCTTGAAGAGGTCTTGATACCCTTGGGGACTGATACCCTTAGAACAGATAAGGGCATCCTTCATTTTTAGCATGGGAAAGCAGTCAAATTGCAGTGTGTTTTTGTTTTCCGTGGCTTCAAGCAGCACTTCTGTACTGAATAATTCCATGCAGAGATGTCTGGGTGGAATGTGGATGTCAGAGTATCTTTTTCCACTCCTTTTGAGATTTCTTAGTGGAACTCAGAATAGGAAAGCTGGTATTTTTTTTTTTTTTTTTAATACTTTTGGAGCAGAATCTCAACTGTGAGAAATGCCCTTTCCCACTGCTCAGCAATGTGAGGTTACAGATCCCTGATGCTAACACATGGTGCTTCATTGTGTGCTCACACAGTATGGAGCTGTTATGCTCTCCAGTAATGAGTTGCTACTGGAAGCATCAACCGTGATGGTGGGGAGATGAGTCCTTTTCAGTGGAAGAGGGAGGAAGGAAGGAGGATTCTTTTCCTCCCCTATTGCATCACAGGACAAGTTCTCTTCACTGGATGACCTGTGCAAATTAACTTGGTTGGCAAATTGTGGGGTTGGCTGTCTGAATCCTCACAATTTTCTGCCAGGAAACTTCTCCAGATGTTATTTCTGTTCTTCCTGCCACTCTTACTTCTGTGTCAGCAGCTGCTCAAGCCTGGAAGCAGGTCAGGAGCCCATCTGTGCATTTACCCCTGGAGGCGCAGTACTAGCCAGCTCAGTAGCCCCTCTTCTTGATTTACATTACTGTGGGGTTTCCTGGCACTTGGAAACCCATGAGTTTTCTCTGTTCGGTTCCTTTCCATCTACTGAGCCAGGGAATACTGGGTGTCTGTGCAGGACTGGCCCATCTGTCTGGAGTATTTATCCAGCATAAATTCGAGGGGGATTTTACCCTCTCCTTAGCCTGACAAAGCAAGAATCCAAATGTGGTGTTTTATGACATAAGCCTGTGACACTCTTGATTTTCAGTCAAGTTTCTGTGGTTTTCTGACATGAAACAGGAAAATTTTAAGCTGTCAGTGTTGTTCTGCTTAGCCAAAATCGGTGTTTAAAGTTAAATGACAACCTGCTGATGAGAAATTTGAAATGTAAATTTATCAGTGAACCGTATCCTTTTACACTTAAGCATATGCCTTTTGCTATTTTGAGTGGTTTGCACTACTGACAGGTTGCCTATAGATCCCAACTAATAAGTACTTCACACTGAGCATGGCCTTTGTAACCATAATGCATCACACTGCTATCTTTGGCACAAAGCATTTCACTCAGAGCACTTTGAATATTGCAGCTGACCTTCTTGAAAGCAAGGGTTAAGCCAAGATATTCTGTGAGATGAAGAAACTTGTTTCCAAGAAAAGCTGCTGAATTAATGGTACAGAGAGATTATTGAGTGGGAAACTGTTGAGGAAGTTAGATGCTGATGGGTGTGTTTAATACACTAAAGGTGGGATTCCTTTAATAGTTCCCCTCACACCCGCAGTTGACTGAGGGTGGGTTTTTTTGTCAGCTCATTGCCTGGGGAGGAGGTGGCTGTGCTCCCTTGTTGCACACTCCTTGCCCCTTTGTGTGACAGAGCTGTCACCACGTAGTTGCTCTGAGTTGTGCTGAGTGACAGTGTAACATATCAGGCAAGGCATAGCTTCTCTAGATTGCTGTTCTTCGCTGATCCTCCTACCATTTCACTGCTGTTGTATTTATTTGTTGAGAATTTCGTGAAATCGTTCTACGTAACTTTCTCTTGCGGCCATAGATTCTTCTACTGAAGCTATATTTCTATACAGTCACCATCTCACAGAACACAGCCTTTTGCAAGTGAGAAGACAGTGGAACCTTCACTGCTATTTTTGTGTGTGGTAAGGGCAACTGAGCAGCTTACTGTGAGATGAAGCAAGAGGTTGAACAGAAGACAGGCTTGATGACTTCTCTAACCTCTCCCATGACATTCTGTACACCATACGTCTGATGGAGTAGAGGATCAAGAAAGTGCCAAGATATCATTTGAAAAGGAAACAGTAGATATCAGATGGATTTTCAGGCCCAGGATATATGGCAGTGCCTTTCCCATCAACGTATCTTCGTGTGTTTGACCACATAAAAGATAATGCAAAATAAAGCCCAGTATTTTGGGAGGTGTGTGCTTTCATTGGGTGTCTGGATGCATTCTGCAGTAGTTTTGCTTTATCTCTATATGCACATATCAATTGTTATTCTAAGGAATAAGGCAGCTTGGCTGATTTTCTGACATACATTGTAAGAGGGAAAAATATGCCAAAAAGTGAAGCTGAACTGCCGTGAACTATTTTTTTTTTTTTTCCCCAGAGTGTAAAAGCTCCCTGTTTCATGAGAGAAATTAGGCAGTTTGGGGAAATGGAGTCCAATATATCATTGAACCCTCTAACAACCTGTGAAGCTATGAATTGAAATAATAGGACGGTGTGTATCACTGTTTGCAAAACTCAGTTCCACCGTCTATTATTTTCTTAATATCAGTAAAATTTAAGTCTGGGAGTGGAGTGTGGATGGAGATTCAAGAAGGGCACACTGTAGGATCATTATAGACAATTCTTATTTCCTCTTGCAATCCGTAGGTGGGGGAAAGTGAAATCAAATTTCATTAATTGACTTTTCAAAGGTAATTAATCCACCTGCTTTCCCAGGGGAACACCCAGCCTGTTCTTAGCCAGGCTGTGCCTACCAGCAAGAGGCTGTTACAGTAATCCATGTGCTTTCAGGAACAGATCCCAGGGCAGAGCCAGTCCCGCTCTGTAACTATACCTCCAACAACAGCTTTGGGAGGGTAGCATTAGGTACCCTCCCAAGAATCAGTCATGCTCCTAAGTAGGATTACAACATTAATGAATAGCATACCAGAAAGGTATTGTTTCACTGTTGCTTGTGACTTTTGAACTGACTGAGTTGGCTTTGAATTATTTTGGGACCTCATGTGTAATACCTCTGTGCAAACTCTTGTGGGAGGTGTTCTTTTCTCTTTTTGCACTGTGAGTAGCGTAGCTGGAAAGAGACTTTTGACAAGAAGAGCCATACAGTTCTGCTCTTAACCCATTCTTCACTGTGCACAAATATTGACGATACCAATCTCTTATGCGTCGATTTTCATCAGTTCTTCAAGCACTTCACTGAGAAGATAAATCTGCCATCACTGTACAGAGACATGGCACTGAGGCCCCAGTGGCTTGCTGAATATGTTGTAGTGGTACCAGGAGGGCTGGATGCAGATCTGTTCTGCTCAAGTGCCCTATGCACTGTTGGTGACTTACAACAGAATCACAGAATCACAGAATGGCCAGGGTTGGAAGGGACCTCAAGG